GGTTCATGCCTACTCTCTGCTTTCTGTCTGAGGGAAGCCAGCTGCCATGTTGGGAGCCATCCTTCAGAAAGGCCTACTTGGCCAGCAATTGAGGCTTCAAGCCAATGGCCAATGAGAAACTAAGGCCTTCAGGCCAATAGCTTGAGGATAATTGAATCCTACCAACCACCATATGAGGGACTTAGAAGTAGTTGCTTCCCTGGTGGTGCCTTCAGAAGCCATTGCAACCTTGTGGGAAATCTTAGGCAGAGGCATCCAGCTAAGCTGAATCTGGATGTGCATGTGACAGAAGTTGATAATATGACAAATGTTGTTAAAGCCACTGAAATGTTGGGGTTCTCTTTTGTGCAATAATAGATAACTTATACAGCTTTGGTGCCAGGAGTTGGGTTTGAAACCCCTGAAACTTTCTATATTTTTCTGTAGTAAAAAGTAATGTCTTTTACATGAGTTGAGAGTGCTTGTTTATTTGTTCCCATAATGCATCATGTGTACTAGTGTTTTGCCACATTACAAATTTCTGCATTCTTTCATTTTCATCTGTAGGCAGCTTTCTCCCTTATAAAATTGTAAAGTTTCTTGAGGTCAGATGCTATTCCATATTAGACTTCGAACTCTTTTCCTGCCCCCAGGGTAGTTGATGATAGATCTTTTTTTTTTTTTTTTTTTTTTTGAGATGGAGTCTTGCTCTGTTGCCAGGCCGGAGTGCAGTGGCATGATCTCAGCTCACTCCAACTTCTGCCTCCTGGGTTCAAGCAATTCTCCTGCCTCAGCCTCCCAAATAGCTGGGACTACAGGTGCACGCCACCATGCCCAGCTAATTTATATATTTTTAATAGAGTCGAGGTTTCATCATGTTGACTAGGATGGTCTTGATCTCTTGACCTCTTAATCCCCCTACCTCTGCCTCCGAAAGTTCTGGGATTACAGGTGTGAGCCACCGCGCCTGGCCCGATGATAGATTTTATGTAGTAGGTGCTCGATATATATTTGTTGAATTAAATTCACTGAGTATATTTAATGATACTTCAATAAACCAAGGTTGATATAAATGGGAACAATTGGCCAATCATGTCTAAACATTTTACAGTCTTTAGCTTTTGTCAAGAATTAGTGCGTAAAAACTCTGGTGATATCTTCTGGGACATCTTAACAAATATTTCACAATACCTAACATTATTTCTTTTGTTTCCCCTATTGCTTTTTAATTTTTTGTATTTATTTTTTATTATACTTTAAGTTATGGGATACATTTGCAGAATGTGCAGGTTTGTTACATAGGTATATGAGTGCCATGATGGTTTGCTGCATCCATCAACACATTGTCTACATTAGGTATTTCTCCTAATGCTGTCCCTCCCCTAAGTCCCCAACCCCCAACAGGCCCTGGTGTGTGATGTTCCCCTCCCTGTGCCCATATGTTCTCGTTGTTCAACTCCCACTTATGAGTGAGAACATGTAGTGTTTGGTTTTCTGTTCTTGCGTTAGTTTGCCGAGAATGATGATTTATTCAAATGACATGAATTCATCCTTTTTAATGGCTGCATAGTATTCCATGATGTATATGTGCCACCTTTTCTTCATCCAGTCTATCTTCGATAGGCATTTGTGTTTGTTTCAAGTCTTGTTATTGTGAACAGTGCAACAATAAACATATGTATGCATGTGTTGTTGTAGTAGAATGATTTATAATCCTTTGGGTATATACCGAGTAATGGTATTGCTAGGTCAAATGGTATTTCTTGTTCCAGATCCTTGAGGAACTGCTACACTGTCTTTCACAATGGTTGAACTAATTTATACTCCCACCAACAGTGTAGAAGCATTCCTATTTCTCCACATCCTCTCCAGCATCTGTTGTTTCCTGACTTTTTAATAATCGCCATTTTAACTGGCATGAGATGGATACCTAACATTATTTCTTATTTTGGGAGGAAGTGAGTTAAAGGAAAAACATGACTTTACTGACCTTTCTATAGATTTAAGTAATATTTTCCAAGCTTAAAAATTTGATGAATCTCGAATTTTTTTACATGGTAGCAACTACTGGTATATCATAATTGTGAGAGTGTCTTAGGCTGAAACATGATAGCCACTTGAGTAACTTCCATAATGCATTTGTCTTTTTAGGAGTTCTGTGTTCTTTACTAAATGGTCCAGTGTGGACATTGGCTGGCTACCCTATATAGTCAATGAGAACTCACAAATTCTTTGGTAATTTGGTACTGCCATACAGTAAAAAGAGAGTTAGCTTTGCATTGAAATTAAATTTTGGCCTAACAACTTATTTGCTCTTTGACCTGGGTCAAGTTACTTAATCTCTCTGAGTATTTCATTTATGTTTAATAGAACAATAAACCTCAGATTATGGGTTCTGAGAAGTATTTAAAATTATAGATATAGTTTACTATGGTATATGACAATTAGAAATCATTAAGTAAATGGTAGCTGAGTACTAGGCTATCAAGTTAATAATATCAAATAATTTCCTTCATTTGTAATTTATCTTCTCATGGGATTCATGGCATTCCTTCTCCTGCCTTTTGGTTAAGCTGACCCATAGGCTGAGGAAAACCTCTGTCATAATACCTGTGATTTTATAAACTTCATAGTTACGAATGCATTTAATCTTTCCCTTTGGTCATTAATTCAACAAATATTATTGGATTTCTGAAAGAATGAAGGGACCCAGTACTATCATTTCTCTGAATTCCTGGTGCATTTAATTACTTGAAGCAGTCACTCAGTATGTGCCATCTACTAGGCTTTACTCTTAGATATCAGTTAAGGTGGAGGAAGTTTGGCTTATAAGCAGTCACTTTGTACCTACAAAACCTTGATTCAGTTTCCTGCTCCTTCCCTTGGGTGAGTTGCTTAATTTGATTAATTACCACTTTCTTCAACTGTAAAATGGGGAAATAATGGTACTTCAAGAGGCTGCTGTCTTGGTTAGATATAATCAGTGTAACACACTGAGCATATTGTCTGGCATAGAGTGTTCAGCGATATTTAGCTAGAATACAAGTATCTTACGCAGATATTCGGTTTTACCAGCTTCACATATTTAAAATAACATATATACATATGCATATAAATTTCAAATCTCCTTACAAGTGTAGGTGGTTATTTTTAGTAGTATTTAGGATGGTCACTTTTTCTAATTCACAGGTCTAAGAAAGAAGTTGTGTAATCAATAGGAGATCAATGAAGATTTGCTGTTGCATATGATAACATGTTGATAAGACACCAGGCAAACCTCACTGAGCGCTGAACAAGGTAATTTCTTAAGGTATGAGTCAGCCAATAAAATACTCAATTACCCTCCTGGCCAGTGAGCGCTAGCCTTCCATAGCATTTGCTTGGCCAGTGAGCCCTATCCTCCCATAGCGTTTGCTTTGTTTATTCATTCATGGCCTCTCGTTATGCCAGTGACATTCAATATTGCCACCCAAGAGCTTTTGATTTCCGACAAAGAGTTTGATTATTTTCTAAAGGACAAACAAACAAAAGATCCATTTTATGGTTAAAACATACATCAGACATTAGAGCAGACCAAGAGATCTAGCCTCAGATGGACAGGAGGATCATGATATTGGCCTACTCACTTCCCATTAGGGAAACTATAATGTATGCTAAGACACTGTAAAGACATAATTCCACAGATCTTTGTTGCATGTTGATTTTATTTTATTATTTGTTTATTTAAGAGATGAGGTCTGTCTCTATTGTCCAGGCTGGAGTGCAGAGGCAAAATCATGGCTCATTGTAGCCTTGTACTTCTGGGCTCAAGCTGTCTTCTCGCTTTATCCTCCTTAGTAGCTGAGATTGCAGGTGTGTACCACCGTGCTTGGCCATGCTAATTTTAGATGTGACAGCCATGGAGATGCACAGTTCATATCTCTTTCAGGAGAATCTACTTCCTGGAGCAGATGTCTAGCAGCCCAGCTAGTTCTGTGAACTTCCAGGCCACACTTCTTGTGGCTGCTTTCTGAATGTCTGAGATGGTAAGGGAACTAGTGTCAGCTTGCTCCTGTAAGACTCATAACTCCTCCCTTTAGCCTGCCTGAGGATTTCTCAGAACTGCACCACGGTCTGAAGTCCTTCCTTCCCAACTCTTCTAGTTTTCTATCTTTTTACAGGTATCAGACCAGACCTGTGATCTGAAAGCTGTTTCTGCCTATTCCTGTTCCCTTCCCTTTTACCCATAGACAAGTTTAACTCCCCTGATCTCATATGTCAAACCCTGTTTCGCATCTGCTTCTCAAAAAAGTCTGTGCTGACATAGTTGGTAATAGGTAACCATATTGAAAATACAGCTCAATTCAGAAAAGATGCCATACTGGCCCAATATGGCTCTATTCTACTGCATGCCCTTATGTCTAGGAATCCAGGCCCTGGCAGGGAACAGAATATGCCTGTAGTGTCTGTGGTGGAAAAACTTATACATTTACAGAGGAAGGAAGGTGAACTTCACACATTTCTTAATATCATCATATACCCTTTCATATGCCCAATTCAGACTTGTAATTTGTATATTTGCATATGCATATTTAATATGACTATATGTTTGTATATACTAATTCTCTGATTAGCCTATTATCTCCCTGAAGGTAGTAGCTGTATCCAATTTGTATCAGTTTTGTACTTTCATCTCTGACATTAAATGTCCCCTGCCAGGTGAGGTGGCTTATCCCTGCAATCCTAGTACTTTGGGAGGCCGAGGCAGGTGGATCACCTGAGGTCAGGGCTTCAAGACCAGCCTGGCCAACATGGTAAAAACCCATCTCTACTAAAAACACAAAAATTAGCCAAGCACAGTGGCAGGCTCCTTTAATCCCAGGTACCAGGGAGGCTGAGCAAGAGAATTGCTTGAATCCAAGAGGCGGAGGTTGCAGTGAGCTGAGATTGCACCACTGCACTCCAGCCTGGGCAACAGAGTGAGACCCCATCTCAAAACAAAATAAAATAAAACATAATAAATGTCTTCAATACATGTCAAGTAATATATACAGAATTAATAATTCCATCATGGATGTAAGAGTGATCTTTGAACATTCCGACTTTGGTTTAAATCCCAGGTGTGCTGCATCTTAAGTGACACCTTGGCCATGTTACTTTTAACCTTTTTGAGCCTCAATTTTTTCATCTGTACAGTGAGTTTTTTGTAGATAAATTGTGAATTTACAGTTTTTTATGCATAATTAACCACCTATACTTGATATCGAGTTAATAAACCTTATAGAAAATTAGTGCTATTGCTATACATTAAAAGTTCTCTCATAAGTATAGCGAACGATTCAAATTTAGTAACAAATTTATTTAAATAACTTCAGAATTACAACTTTTAGGAAAATTAAATTAACCTCTGTACTGGACTCTGCCCTCTAGGTGCTTAATTTATATTGTTATCCTACTAAAATAATATTAAAAGGAATTAACATGGTCTTGGATTATTTCAAAATACAAAAAAGGTATAAGAAAGCTGTGTTCTCAGTTGAGTGTCTACAATATCAACATACATTTTTATAAAGTCTTGCTTTTCTTAATAGTCTTTATAGGCTTGGATTAACCTGAGTGAGGAGCACACAGTAATTTTCCCAAGGTCTGTTCTTGTGACTGTTAGGAATAAGGAGGCAGAGCTTTTCCTTGGCTTACCTATCCCCATATCTTATCTTCTCAAGGCTGTGCCTTTCTGCCTTCCAAGGCTACAACTGGCTGATTGAACTGTTATCCATGTTGATATGTTAAAGGATAAGATTGAAGGCAGCTCCCAAGGTCTTTGTTGACTTACAGGGTAACATACAGTTTAACAATGACCTCCAGAAGAGGAGGACCTTGCTTTTGTTTTCTAACCAAAATATCCTAGGTAGCAAGAATTTTAGCTCATGTAAAAGGAAACCCTTGGGGAATGTATTTGGGGTGTGCAACTACTTTTGTTAGCCCTGAATCATAGCAGAAGCAGCCACTTCTGCTAGTCACAACAGGGTGAGCCTGAAGTTTCTAACCTGATGATATCAAAGCATTTAATATTGCTAGGAAGCATCCAAACTCCTACAGAAAACTGGGGCTTTTGATAACTGGATCAAAAGGTCTGTGTGATTTCTGCCAAATAGCCAGTCCTCTATTCAGCAATAGTGAAATATGTTCTTCCTTAGTATCTAATCTTTTACTTTTTCTGGTATATAAGCCTGAATTATCAAAGAATTAATTAATATGTCAATGAGTGATAAGCCATAGTAAGGAAGATTCTGATTTGGGGGTCTTAAGCCCACCATGTAAACATTTTGACAGCTGAGAAAAACACCAAAGAGAAGATGTTCTGGTATGTTCCCTGCATGGACACAGAATGAAACCTTAAACCACAGCAAACAGAAATGATGACGTTCTCTGTTAACACATAGTTTTTAACAGCAACTACTAACAATGTTCTTTCTGTTAGCTAACCTAACTACTTTATGGTACAGCCCAGGACAATTTTTCCTGTTTCAATATATTTTAAAATACTTTTGATTTACAGCAGAAAGCATTTTCATGATCTTTTCCCAGCTGCTTTTCATTTGCTGTTAGAATCTCTCTGCCTTTCAATGATCGAATTCCTCTCTCACAGAGCTGTTTTCCTCTGCTTCACCTCATAACCCTAGATTAACTTGTAGCTTTGCTTTCTAATATGGAAATGTTCACATGCATATGCTTGATAACTCTAACCATTCTGTCCAAGCGACCATCAAACCTTGATGATATAAACTCCTAGATATTTTTAAATGTTACCTGTATTTCTCCATCAGTAAAATCATTGCCCTAGAACATACCTTTGTCACTCTTACCCAAGACAGTGGGATTTTTGAGATTTTGTCAGTATTTCTATTGATAAATATGTGTAAATGAACTGCTGTATTAATTTACCATTTATTTATTGAGATGAGGTCTCACTCTGTCACCCAAGCTTGAGTGCAATGATGTGATCTCTGCTCATTGCAACCTTTGTCTCCCAGCCTCAAATGATCCTCCCGCCTCAGCCTCCCAAGTAGCTGGGACCACTGGCAGGGTTTACCACAGCCAGCTAATGTTTTGTATTTTTGGTAGAGATGGGGTTTTTCCATGTTGCCCAGGGTGGTCTTGAGCTCCTGAGCTCAGACAATCCACCTGTTTTGGCCTCCCAAAGTGCTGGGATTACAGGCATGAGCTGCCATACCCGGCCTGCTGTATTAGTTGGTTATGTATATTATAAAAGACATGGCAAAAGTTGAGAATTTTTGAAAGATGATATTAAACTAGGAAGAGAATTTCAATTCCTTTTCTCTCCAAATGAATTCCTTCTATTCTCCTTGGGAGAAATATATCCTATGCATCCTCTGAGGCAATAAAATATAATACTATTGCCTCAGATACAATAATAATATTGAACTCATTTCTTTTCCTTTTAATTTGTTTCCTTAAATTCATCTGCACTTAGCTGCCAAGGTGATTTATATAAAATGTGTACTTGATTCTGCTACTTCCATGAATAGAATGATGCCAGAGCGGCCCCTCTCCGGATAAAGTTGCAGCCCTCCCATACAAAGCTTTTCACATCCCTTCCTCTAGCTGCCTTTTCATCTTGATCTATCTCTATTCCTTGCCTCATACATTCCATTTTTTTTTTTTTTTTTTTTTTTGAGACGGAGTTTCACTCATGTTACCCAGGCTGGAGTGCAATGGCGCGATCTCGGCTCACCGCAACCTCCGCCTCCTGGGTTCAGGCAATTCTCCTGCCTCAGCCTCCTGAGTAGCTGGGATTACAGGCACGCACCACCATGCCCAGCTAATTTTTTGTATTTTTAGTAGAGACGGGGTTTCACCATGTTGACTAGGATGGTCTCGATCTCTTGACCTCGTGATCCACCCGCCTCGGCCTCCCAAAGTGCTGGGATTACAGGCATGAGCCACTGCGCCCGGCCACATTCCATTTCTATACCACAAAATAGCTTGTAGTATAGCTGTGGACATCTTGCTTTTGCATTGCTTTATGCTTTCACTCATTCTGGTCCTTTTGCATGGAATAGCTCTTGCTTTTCTTGACTTGCTGTTTAGTGACTAATCTTTCAAAAGCCATGCAAAACATCTTCTCTAAATATCCTTCTCTAAATATGTATTACATATTTTACAACATAAAATCCTTACCAAATATGTATTACATATTTTATTTTAAAAATAAATCTCAACAAAACATAATATATAATACATTTCAACTACATTTATAAACATACAAAGCATTAAGTAAAACTTAAATTCATATAACCGTAAGTATTATATACATCTTTACTCTAGCAGATTAAATTGATACAACAAAGGATTATTTTTAAAATAACATAAAATATACAAATAAAGAAAATTTAGTGACACTATGAATAATTATGTGATCTTTTAAAAATAATCACTCTTACAGGATAAGATGTGTCATTTCTTGAGTTGCAAGTGTGTTTTTGTAAAAATTTTTTCATTGGGTGAACAAATTTCTTCTGAATCTGTAACAGTTGGAAAAATATTGAAGTTGAAAGAAACTAAAGCCACTATATTCCTCTGATTATTTCATTACCAAATAATATCTTTTTTGACAACTTTAAGAGAACATTATGAGCATTTATTTTTTCCTGGAGCATCATCATCCAATTCTTTCATTGCTGGCTCTGTGTGTTTTGTTTCAAAGAAAGCATTTATAGCTCATTTCTATTCTTAATGTTTTCATCACATATAAATGGAGAATTCAATGTAGGGTTTCCTTATCAATGTATATACTGGCATGTCCAAGTTCTACTTATTCAGAAATTTTTTGTGTTAGAGTAAGAATTATTTTGCATTAGCAGCTTTGTTTTGCCAACTCTCATTTTCTGCCTCCTATGGAGTTTATGAGATTTTAGAAGAGTAGCTCTAAGTGAGAGCACCTTTATATGATTTGTAATTTTTAAATTATATGGCGCATGTACCTCTGGGTAGTGATAATATTCATTCAGTGAGCGGTTTCGTTACACCCTTACAAATTGTCATTGATCTTGATCTCAAGAGGTTTTTTTTTTTTTTTTTTTTTTTTTTTTTTTTTTTTTAATTTGTCCACTCATTTAACTACAAGAGAACTTTATGTTTTTGTCTGGCTTTGAGTTACTGTCTAGCATCCTTTCATTTTAACTTGAAGGATTCCCTTTAGTATTTATTGCAGGATTGGTCTAGTGATAATGAACTCTTTCAGCTTTTGTGTATCTGGAAATATCTTAATTTCTCTCTCACTTTTGAAGAACAGTTTTGCCAGATATAGAATTCTTAGTTCACAAATTTTTTTCAGCACTTTAAATATGTCATCTCATTGCCCTCTTGCATGTGAGGTTTCTGCTGAGAAATCTGCTAACAGTCTTATTGAGGATCACTTTTATGTGATGAATTGTTTTGGTCTTGCTGCTTTCAAGGTATTCTCTTTGTCATTGTCTTTTGAAATATAATACATTTTTTGTGTAGTCTCCTTAAATTATCCTACTTGGAGTTCACTGAAGTTCTTATATTTGCATATCGATATTTGTCTACAAATTTTGGAAGTTTTTGTCCTTCATTTCTTTAAACAAACTTTCTTTCCCTTTCTTCACCTTCTGGAATTCCATAACTTATATACTCGTTAGCTTGGGGATGTCCCATAAGTCCTTTGTCTCTGTTTACTTTTCTTCATCTTTGTTTTTTTTCTTTTCACCATCAGGCTTGATTATCTCAAATGACATGTCTTTGCATGCAGTAATCCTTTCTTTTGCCTATTTCAGCTTATTGTTGAATCCCTCTCATGAATTTTTTAATTCAGTTATTCTATTTTAAAGATCCAGAATTGTTGTTTGGTGTTATAAAAATGTATAATTTCTGTCTTATTGTTTTTATTCTTATTTTGTTCAAATATCATTTTCCTGATTCCCTTTAGTTATTTTCTGGTGTTTTTCCCTTACATGTTTCAACATATTTAAGGTATTTTTAAAACGTGTTTGTCTAGTAAGTCTGAAGCTTGTGTTTCTTCAGGGGCAGTTTCTGAAGGTTTAGTTTGATCCTTCAAGTGAACCATATTTTCCTGTTTCTTTGTATGTCTTGTGATCTTTTGTAGAAATTTGAGCATTTGAGAAAACATCCACTTTTCCCAGTGTTTGCAGACTGGCTCCATGTTGAGGGAAAGACTTCACTAATAAGCTCAGGGTGAAGGCTAAAAATCTTCTTAGGCATTTTCTTGACATGCATTTTCTTTGGGCCTGTGTGAGTGCTTTCCTCCCAATTTCCCAGTAAACGTGGATGGTTTAAAATGTCTTAATTTCACAAGGAGTCTCATTTCTGCTGCTTCTTAGGGCTTTAACTGTTTGATTATATTCTCTTGTGCTTAATCTCTTGCACCCAGGCATCTATGGGTCTGTAATCCTCTTGTAGTTTTCACAAATCATGCCCACTACTTTCCACAGTCTTTCCTAGTTTGAGATCTGAGCCACTTTTGTCTGTCTAAGCTCTGAGTTGTGTGACATATAGACTAGACCCTCAGGTAGTCCACAGACAGATAAGAAAATGAAAAAATTGACCCACCCTGTTTCTTTAGTTCATGAAAGGCACCTGGAGACTGACCAGACTCCTGCTTCCCCTAAACTGAGTGGGGCAAGGGTAACTAAAAATGCATGAAATTTCCCACCATTTCAAATGTGACTTTTTCATGGTTATTTGCTTCGATTGTTATAGATCTTTCATTGATTTTCAGAGCTCCTATGGAGTTACTTCAGTTAACTTCTAGTTATTTGTTTAGTGTTTCCATGGGATAATGAAGGCCCAGAGGTTCCTAGTCTGCCATCTTGCTGATGTTTCTGCTTTCAGAATTAAATAAAATAACATAATAGAGACTTCCTTGGCATATCACTGGTCTGGTTTTTCTGGCTTATACTGGTATAGCTGCTCCCTTGATCCTGAATGTCTTTATAACCACTGTATGGCTGACTTATTTGCTATAAATTTTGATCCTGACTTAGTGAGGATTCAATAACTTCCTTCCATGCTTGACTCCTCTAAGAGAAAATTTCAGGACAATTAACTCTGGGAAGCTCTTCTCCTT